GACCAGAAGACCAAGAACGAAGAAGATAAGCTGGGAGCTGAACAGAACGACCAGGTGGCGAATTCCAGAAGGAAACGGAATCTCGATTACTTGGACATCTTCCAGGCTGAAAGGAACCTGAAGAATCTTATCAGGAACAAGCGTCTGCAGCGAAAGGGCGCTGATTCCATCAGCGAGATCGTGGAGATAGATGTTCCTGCTCGTAACAAGAGTATCGATGTGACAGAGTTCCTGATTCCCAGGAGGAAAACGTACAATCGAAAGGACTCGAGGAAGAACAGCAAGGATCCAGCTATCCTGATCATCGAGGATGGCTCCACGCCTGTGGATCTTCTTCGCAAGTATCTGGCCAATAACGTTTCCGATAAAAATGACTTGGCTGACCTGGAAAAGGCTGTAGGAGATCTTAGACGAGACGAGACGAGGAATTCTGTGGACGGCAGGGACGAGAGACGAAGGAGAAGAAGCATCGACAGCGACGAGGAACTGGAGGACATTCTTCAGAATCTGGAGAACGCGGAAATTGCAGACGTGGCGCATATGGATGGAGACTGGACCAATACACCCTGTGCCAAGAGGATATTCTGTGACGCCATGATCCACAGAGGAACAGACGCCGTCATTTTGATGGAGAAGAAAATGATCGCCCTTCTGAGCCTGTAAGTACTCACCGGCTAGACTGTTATGGCACCTGCTTTCCAGGAATCGTTTTCATTGCTGCAAAAAGTCGAACTCGCGGTTACAAAACATACGGGAAGTCGATCACTCTTGTGATATAATGGCGGTGCTCCCTAGTTAACATATCGTTATGTACCTAGCTATGTTTGGCCTATGGTGTTTCGTGCATCTGAAAAATGCCGATGGACTTCATTCCTTTTTTCCTTTTCCTGGTGGCCATACGGATTACTTCGGAGGAAACCAGATTTTTCGCCAACCCGCAGAATTTATATAGCATAGAACTATAAGAATCGAAGTTACTTACAGCTCTCGAAGACGAATTTTATGAATCTTTTCTCGAAATTACGCAAAATCCTGTCAAGAAAATCCCAGTCGAGTCGATTACGTAACTGACGAGGAATTTCTTGGGAATGTCCTATAGATCTCGTCATTAGACATCTCGAAGATCCTCGAACTACGGTATTGCTTCCTCGAAACGTAGACAGTCGAGCCAAACGCGCAACTTCCTGTCAAACGATAAATTATTCGCGACTGCCTAGTGAAAATCGGTTGCACGCTCGTGATTCCTGGTGAAACTATGCTCGGCAGGAGCAGCGGGTGATCTCGGTGTAGAGAAATCGTTAGATGGATAAGCAGTGTCGACGATGAAGCAGCGTGTCAGATTCGGGCCCGATTTGTCATCGTTCGATTTCCGAACGGTCGTTTCTCGGGATTTTTCCGGCACGTGGCCAGCTCTGTCATGGGGATAGACGACTATGTGCGCGCTCGCGCACGCGTGTATGCACAGAGTGAAATTGTGCTAAGAGGTAAAAGTCGAATCAGTCAGTAGGACGTCGCCGGCGAAAGCTGGGAAGAAAGTTATCTGCTGCTCGGTATGGTTCCGTCCAGTCGGCTTGGTTCTTTGATTTCCTCGACCCGTTCGGTATAATGGCTTTGTTTCAAACAGGTTTCAGCTGGAAGGGAAATTGGGAAACTCTAGGAGAAGCGTAATTGATGTATGGAATGTCATCCTTCCTTCGTAATAAATCTATCATCGTTCTTGGGGACTATACAAGTCATTCATCCTGTTTGGAACACTGGTGTGACGAAAAATGACGGAAAATTAGTATTCTTCGATAGCAGTACAATTTTTCTTCTTTACAATCGCTTCGTATATCTTCTGCATTCGTTGTGCCAATTCGATAACTCGATTCAGTGCTTCCGAGTAGTTCGAATGCTATTTTGAACATTGGTGTAATAAAAAGTGGTGAAGAATTAGTATTTTTTGATAGCACTACAATTTTTCTTCTTTACAATTGCTTGTTATATATTCTTCATTCGTTATGCCAATTCAATAACTCGATTGAGTGCTTCTGAATAATTCAAACCTTATTTCAAACATTGGTGTAAAGAAAAATACTGAAAAATTAGTATTCTACGATATCATTACAATATTTCTTCTTCACCATTGCTTCTTACATCCTCTGCATCCATTATGCCAATTCAATAACTCGATTGAACACTGAGTAATTCAAACTCCATTTCAGATCAACCACAGGTATACTCCATGAGATAAGGTTGGAATCCAGCTTCTGAATGAGAAGAACAAATATTTCCCTCACTCGATCCTCTTCCTTCCTCATCCAATCTTCTCCGAATATAATCCTCCCAGATTCAATCTTCGGCGAGCTTTTTTGCTTACAAGTCACATCCATCCAAGTATCTTCTCTAACTCGCGTTTCATCGGAAGGTCTATCTACCATCGCGATTCGGCAGAGTCGACCTTCGACTCGGCCATCTGCTTGTCACCGTATTTCACTCCTGCTCCCGCGATTTATCCACGATACCCCGTCGGTACATACCTCGTCCCGTTAGCTATCAATTACACCATAGCCATCGATAGTTGGACCGACTCATCGACGCCTCCAGCCTTTTCCGACTAATCGCCATTAACCATTTTACATTAATCTTGTCCACGTTCACAGGCTTCAGAAGGAAGCAGCCGTCCAGGTGTCCAGCCACTTCCAGCAGGTCATAGACGCAGTAAGAAGACACGATTGTTCGAGCTTCCTGTGTCCCAAGGCCAGGCCCGAGAATGTCTTCTCATAGATTCCTCTTCTACATTCGACGGACCGTGTACTTGCCCCCGAACCACCTCCTGGAGGAAAGCGGAACTGATAAATCGTTGATTTCACGACCGGTGAAAGCGTTCGCCGCAGTTCAGTTCAGAGCGATTCGGGATCCTGCGATTCGACTCGCTCCTTGCCTCGGCCTTCCAAGTTTCCGATTGTTCCATACAATCAGAGCACGAAGAGTGATCATTTTTGTTACAACTGGAATGTCGACCTTCGCATCATTTTGATCAACCGAAGTGACAGAGATGTAGGTCTATTTCTCTGGAAATTTGGTTCACTTGGATCGCATTTGACATTACCGAGATTTCGTCTCACTTCTAGGGGAATTTCGACTGTTTCTGCTGAGTTCCAGATGATAGAGATTTCATTTTAACATTTGGATAATTTGGGTCATTCGAAGGGAATTCCAAATTACAGAATTTCTTATTTTTGGTCTTAGATCTTACCTTTGATCTTAGATCCAATAAGAATCAAATCATTTTTATTCGAAATGACAGAGATGATATAGATTCGGTTCTAATTCGAAGAAAATTTGGATCATTTAGATTAGCTAGGAATTCCTAGAAAATTGGTTCTACTTCTATTAAAATTTGAATCACTCGAGTCTTGTGATTGGTAGGAAATTTTGGACTGCCTGAATTTATTTAAATATAGAAAAAAAATTTAATTTACAGTGAGTCTATATTAAGAAGTCTATATAAAGATTCGATCTGAATTTTACCGAAATCGATGGTGTAGTCTCGGAGTTGTTTTATGGAAACTTGACGAGGAATGGAGCAAGTCGAAATGGAAGATCTGCACGAGAAATCTAGGAAAGTCTAGAAACAAAACTGTACATATTCGCCACCCTATTTAATATAAACGTACCCTCGTAATTTAAGATACTAGAGTTAATTAGCCTTTATACATCGAGCTAATTAGTCGATTCGATGAGCCTAATGCGCCAGCTCAAACTTGACCTAAATCGTTGATTCTCGTGCGCTGTTCCTCCAATTGTGTGTCTATAGCGAATCGGACGAAACCTTAATTATTTTGGGTCAACTTTGAGTCTTTCCTGGGCTCCCTCGAAGAAGCAGATTTTGCTCGAGAGATCCAGGCAGATCGATCGATTTCTCGAGAAAAATCTACGCACGAATCAGTAACCGACGTAATTTCATTAAGCGACATATTTATTTTACTTCTTTTATCTCACCGTTTCATCTCAAACATCTCCAATCTGTAAAATAAATTAAATTATACATTCTTGCAATATCCTCGGCGAAATCGTTCAATTCTCTATTAGTCCTAAATAATTACCAGAATATTACTATACTGTCAACGCAAGAAGGAACTTTCTCCAATTTTGTATACGATTTAATACAATTACATAAACTAATTTACACCCTACAGGGATATTTTTCAACCCCTCCGTCCATGTACTTGAAATAAAACGAGATTAAAAATTTCGATCCCGTTGATCCAATCCTCTTCACAAAATTCGCGTTTGACAGTGAGCTGACAGAACTAGACTAGAAGAGTTTAGGAAGTTTCAAGAAAATCACGTAATTGCTCGATTAAATTTTCCCAAGCACCCTCATTAAAGCATGTTCAAGGCAACAAGCTTCGTGGCCAATTTTAGAAGCGAATAAACGAAGGAAAAAAGAAAATAGCGTACCATGACAAAAGTTATTCAATGAACGCGATCAATTATTTAACGAAGCAGACAGAAGTACCCTCGATAGCCACTGGACTTAAAGACACTTTGTTGTTAGTCGAGATCGATCACAGAAATTTGTCTACACTCGTGGACACCAAACTTCCAGCTACTTTGAAATTCGCAACATTTCCCACATCGGTGCTTTCTTACCTTCTCGCATGAGCAAGCGTTCTTCTCGCGTGTAAAGAACGAGAACTTCATCGGCTACCCGATAGTCTAGTCCACATGTCTTCAATGGACTTTGAACAAGGTACCAAGTACCCATCGCGTGACCTTTCCGCGAATTTTTATCTTCCCCAATTGTCAAATCGCGAGTAAAACGAGTCGACGCAAACCGAGTATACGATTTGAGGAATTCGAGGATTACGATTAGGAATACGATTAGGAATTCGAAGATTCGCATCGAATTCGAATGAGATCAAAGTTAAATAAAATGGAGAATGGAAATTTCGAGAAATTTTATTGCTACGTTTCTAGGATTGACAATGGCTCTCGGATGGAATCGCTGAAACATGGACCTAATTGGCATCTGGCCTGAGCCTGATAGGACGGATCAACGATGGTTAGATTTCAAGGCTGTGACTTGTCTGGCTGTTATAGCGATGTTCGGGACAGGACCCCAGAGCTCGAATCTACTCTTCATATGGGGAGACCTAGAACTGGTGACGGAGAACCTGTCTATGGCTAATATCCCTGGTATAAACGCGATGATCAAGTTGATAGCCAACTAAATTTGACAACGTGCGAAATTTGCCCAAGATCCTCGGTCTACGGTACCAGGAATTATTCTACGAATTATCGATTATGCTTTAAGTTTTCAAGCCTATCATACAGTCTTTCTATGACGACTGGCAGTGTCCAAGAACGGAGGAAGAGAAGACGACGATGCTGAAAATGGCCAAACCAGCCAGGTTCATTTCTATCTGGTGCTCAGTGCTGACTCGGAGCATGGTCACCGTGTACCTCGGTAGTCCAGCATTCACTATCTACCAGAGTGACAAGGTCAAAGAGAGACAGGATCACTTGGTCTTGTATCCCGGATATTTCCCGTACGATATTCGACCGACACCAGTGCTGATTCTGACTAATTTCGGCCAAGTGATCACAGCGTATTCGGCTACAATCTCCTACACCGCCGTTGACACGTTCATCGCTGTGCTGGTGATGCACATGTGCGGGCAGTTCGAGATCCTGAGGATGAAATTGCAAAGGTTGATGGGCGATGAAGAGGGCAGTAAGAATCAGGACGAGTTTAGGAAGAATTTGGCTTGGATCGTGAACAGACACGAACATCTGAACCAGTGAATAGCACGTGTAATTTCTTGAAATGTCCTTCGTAATATTCCATACATTCTTCAAACATCTTTAATCGGTTATTCCATGAAATTGAGTTAAAAGTGAATATGCTAGTTGGACTTTTAATATTTTGAAAATTCAATGTGTTAATTCCATTTTCTGCCATTCGTGTACTTCCAATATTCTAATATTTCGATTCTTTGATTAATTAATAATTATTTAATATCCACCATGTACACGTGGCTCTACGAAGTTCAGGTAAATCGGGAAACCCTAGGCTATGCGTCAGAAATAATTGTATTTAAGGGAATTATAATTAGGGGAAACATCGGAAAACGTGTACACGGTGGGAAAAAATATGAAAGAGGTCAAGAACAGTCGGAGGATAGTTATTATTATTTGTTGAACTGTGAATTTGAACAGAATATCGTAATATCGTTGAATGTTGTAATAAGTCGAGGAATAATTCGTATCTTTATTGTCACTCGCGAATTTTTATATTGAAGGGGTGACGTGAGTAAAATGACGAAGACTATGTTAGGGTCGAAAATTTAATTTTGATAATTAATATCCGGCGTAATGCCCGGACTGACTATCCTATGCAGTCCTTTTTCTGACACCCTTCTTTGGGGACAGCCATTTACCTTTTCCTCGTGATGGAAAATAGCGTGATCCCCGTGACTTGTTTATTACTCGTTTGCTAGGGGCCCGAAACGGTTGGTGATTAGGCCCTTAGCTGGTCGGTGAAGGCTTTCTCCACGAAGTCGGCTGCATCCCCAGGATATCATTATTATTTTATCGATAAATATTATTTTAATATTCTATTCCCCTTAATACCTAATCAACACCCATCAAACACTATTCCTACCTTCGAATTTCGCTTTTTATTTCACACCACTCTCCATTTCACGTCACGTTCGCTTTCATACTCCTAACCAAGTCCTCAATATTACTTTAATATTTTAGTATTTCCATCTTCCAATATATCATAGTAATTGTCTATTACACCGTTGTCGCTATTCCGATATTATCGTATCAAACAATTTCAATCTCTCACGTTCATGTACCACGACACCTCGATACTCTCTTCAACTTTCTAATTCCACTCTGATATACTATTATTTAAATATTCCAGTTCTTTAATCTTCAATAACGATCTTTTTATCGTGAAAGGTTCGCGACGAAGATCGAGGACTGCTTCAACACGCTTCTGCTCATCCAGATACTGCTCTGCACGGTGGAAATATGTTTCCAAGACTTCTTGTTCTTCAACGTAAGTCCAATTTGCTATACTTCTCTTTCGGAAGATCGGAAAATTGAACTTGTATCATGAACGGAACAGGTCCTGCTGCAAAACGAAGATGGAATCTTCAACACCCAATTTCTCTTCTTCATCCTCTTCGTCTGCTTCATCCTGGTACACATGTATCTTTATTGTTACATAGGAGAGATGCTCCTCGTCCAAGTAAGTGATCCCTCTCGCCAATGCAATCAGCATATTCATAACTAAGTTACGGTACGTCCTATTTCGTTTTCCATGTAAATTGGAAATCCGACATAAGGTTTTAATATTTATCGAGGATCAACTTTGGGAGGGATCCAGCAGAATAATATTGCAATGCTTAACGCGTTAAGTGCCCATGTGTGTGACTTAAGTAACTTGACGCGTTAAGTGTTCACGTGTGTGACTTAAGTGACTTGACACGTTAAGTGTTCACCTGTGTGACTTAAGTAACTTAACACGTTAAGTCCCCAGATACCGGCTCAGACTAAGACCAAAAGGTGCTAAGTTTTGGTATTAAATTCTTCGCCATCTTTGGACCTAACATTTGGGAATTCCTGTTATAATAATTGGTACAGTATCTCTGACTTTTATGAACACTTCTCCCGCCGCTGGTGGCCCAGTTGACAGCCAAGTCTGGGCCTGCACAGAACGGCAAGCAAAACGTGCTGGGCACTTAACGTATTAACAGAACAAAATAAGCTTGAAATATAGCGAAAGAATTCGTTACCTTTCATCTCCGTTGAAGTTTATTCAGCGACAGACTTTGGTCCAATCTGTTATAGTTTATCTAGATTAATTTTATCAATATCGATTTATCTGTACGCTATTCACCTTTCATCGCGATGTCTGCAGACTAGAGTTGAATTGGAGTCGAGCTAGAAAATGAAAATAGTGAAACGATCGCAGCGATTTGATATACCGATACTCACAAGGAGAGTGCAAGTCCTTCGAGTCATGGATTTAGTTGAAACTTTATAGGTTCGTAGATTTCGTCATGCAGTTCAAGGAAATCATTATAAAGGCAACTACTCAATAGTTTTTGAGATATTTGTGTTTAAAGTTTTATTATTCCTTAATTACAGAGTTATTTCAAATCAGAGTTATTGCAAAGTTTGAACTAAATTAATGACTTGAAGGACTTGCATTCCTCTTAATAGTAACGGAAAAATTACCTTGATGTTTCAGAGCAGAGAAATGAGCAATTCCGCGTACGAGTCCAATTGGTTCAACGTCTCACCTCCCGAAGCCAAGTGTCTTCTGTTCATCATGCGCAGATCCACTCGTCCTCTTTGCTTGACTGCAGGCAAATTCGGCACTTTTTCCATGGAAATGTTCAGTAGCGTATGTACCGACTGCATGTCACACTTTTCCACTTGAATTCTTACCTTTTCCCGTCGATTATCAGCGGTTCTCAACCGGTAGTACACGTAACTCTGATGTAATTTGCGTAAGTTAAACTAAATTATACGAAATTTGTAAATTATGTTCAGTGAGGTATACTGTTAGTATAATTGGTATTGGTCATAAACAGCATTTTTTACGGATTTTTACAATAGCAGAAGTTCGTCGATTTAACGTTCAATTTTGACGGATGTCCAACGGAGATCGAAGGTAAAATAATTATTCCAAGACAGGGTTCTTGCGTTCGATTTCGCCGAAACTTCCACCGCAGCCTCGCAGCGAAAGAGTTCGAAAAATTGCAGGTCTTCTTTCGGTACGAGAACTTCCAGATTGCGGCTATTAAAAGTTCTGATCGAGGAAAGATTGAACGACACGATGGAGAATGCGTAATGAGAGACGCGATAGGGCTGCGCGTAATCTCAGCGAACAGTTGTCGAAATATTCATGCTAGAGAAGTTAGCTGAAACATCTGGTCGATTCGAAGCTCTCCTCGTCTGTGGACAAGTTGAACGTTGATTTAACATCGAGAAATAAATTTTGAATTAAATTCGCGATTAATCGGAAATTTCGTAACTTCACGAAGCAATTTAGGGTAGTAGATACAGTCGATTTTGGGGTAGTTTTGTTTTATTTCGTTGAAGAAAGGATTTGGATATCCATTTCACGGATTCGAAGACGATTCGAGGATATTTATGATCATTCGATTTATGATCAGTAATAATTAGTTGAAATTACGCGGGATATCGTGGTGAGAATGGATTTCGAGATTGGATGGAATCGATTTAATTTGACGTTGCTCGGCGTGTGGCCAGAGCCGAGGAAGATGTCTAGGGGATCGCGATTCTTGTCGAGTTTGATATTCTGGTCTACGACTTTCGTGGCGTTTGCGTTCATCTGTGCACCCCAAACAGCGAATCTGATACTAAAATCGAGTAACCTGGACGAGATAATCGAGAATCTGTCGATCAATATACCGATCGCCTTTGCTTTGGTCAAGCAGATAGTCCTGCGATACTATAAAGAAGGTAATTGTTGATATTTTTCTGCATTCCTTTAATTTTCCATTAGATTGAAAAGTAGATATGAATTTGTAAGTTTTTAAATTACAATTCCATTTCATTCGTCAATTTATAAACAAGAATTTCGGTTTTAAATTAAATTAAATTAAATTTTTTAACAATACAAATTCCATCAAGTTTGGTTATTCTAATAGAATTATTAATAGCTGTTTTAAGTCTTGCGATTAGTATACCATTGATTGGCATAATCATTGATTAACAGACCCCATTCCTTTCTCATCGTTGCTATAATTATTTCCATTGTTCAATTATTTTAATATCAATCCTGTTAATTGCAATACAGATACCAGCACTATTCTTTAAATTATCTGCACCTTGATATACTAAAAAGTAATTAGTACTATATACTTATATATTATTTTCCCAAATATTTATTTATATATTTCCCAAAAATAACGATAAATAATTCATCGGATTTACATTTCACTCTGTAACACAGACACCAACACAATGATCAAAATTCCTTAAATTATCTACACCTTGGTCTACTAAAAAATAATTATCACTATACACTTACATATTATTTTCAGATACCGACGTTATATGTTAGTTTCTCATTTCCAATATTAACCATGAATATTTCTCAAAAATAATAATAAATGATCCACCGAATCTACATTTCACTCTGCAACACAAACACCAGCACAATTCCTTAAATTATCTACTCTTTGGTATACTAAAAAATAATGATCACTGTCTACTTATATATTATTTTCAGATACCGACGTTACATGTTAATTTCTCAATCCCAATACTAACCATGAATATTTCCCAAAAATAATAATAAATAATCCACTGACTCTACATTTCACTCTGCAACACAGATACCAGTACAATTCCTGTAATTCCTTAAATTATCTACACCTTGGTATACGAAAAGATAATTATCACTATCTATTTCTACATGTTAGTTTCTCGATCCCAATGTTAATCAGGAATATTTCCCAAAAATAATTACAAATAATCCACTCTCACATAATTCTCCAATTTGTAGCTCTGAGTCTACTACTCGGCCAAATGTTGGACGACTGGTCGGAGCCAATCGGTGACCAAGCCCGTCGAACGATGCTGAAGAACGCCAGAATCAGTCGTACGATATCCATAGTCTGCTCCACTTTAACGTATCTCATGCTGCTCGCCTTCATATCTCTGCAAATTTGGAGCAACACGCAAAACGCATCGCAAGTCGACCTGGCCGGGCTCCTTCATCCTGCCACGTTCCCTTACGACAAGGGCAAAAGCCCGAATTTCGAGATCACATGGCTGGGGCAATTTATGAGCACAGTGTTAACCGCAATATGCTATTCTTGCTTCGACATGTTCCTTGCGGTTCTTGTGTTACACTTGTGCGGCCAATTAACTGTTCTTAGAATGGCTCTCGAGGACCTGGTTAACGCCACGAAGAGGACCGACTACAGCAACTTCCACCAGCAACTGGGATTCATCGTGCAGAGGCACAATCAGTTGTACAGGTTGGAAAACTCTTATTTAGAATAACGACACGTTCGATATCACATCGGGATAATTTTTCGAATTTTTCCGCGTTATTCGTGGACCTGTAATCGAAGGATTTAGACGTATCCAGCTTCGAATGACTGCTTTATGATATTCCTCCATGACAGGAATTTTAAAATTCTCACTAATAGGAAAATATATCATACTGCATTAATTAACAATAAGTAGTATAGAAATAGAAAATAAAATAAAATAGAAATATTATTCTCTATGCTAGGGAATTGTACATATTTTTATTAATAAGAAAGGAATTTTGAAATAGAATTTCGAGATGTGAATGAATCGAATAGTGAATGTGATAATTATTTATTGTGGCTTGTTCTTGACAGAGATCGAGGAGTTTGATAAAGAATGGTTTGTTCGAAGGTTCGCCATCGTGGTCGAAGATTGCTTCAACCTCACGCTACTCGTTCAGACCATAATCTGCACAGCGATGTTGTGCCTCACTGGATATCGTATGATAACCGTACGCAGAAGTTAATTATAATTGATATTAGATGCAAAAGAAAATTCAAGGGACGTAAGATGGTTTATATTTCAGTCCGTAGATCAGAAGGGCGAAAAGTTACCTATCATTGGCATGATATTCTTTACCACACACGTGATCTATACTATGTTGCATCTTTTTATTTATTGCTACGTCGGTGAAATGCTTCTCAGGCAGGTGAATTGTCTGATATACTCTGTTCTTATCGATTTAAACCAGTAGTATCACGAACACCCTAAAACTTCGATAATTTGACATCTCTATATTCCTATATTCCAATTTCTTTTAATTTTAATATTTTAATATTTTAATTTATTTTATTTAAATATTTTGGTATTTCAGTGTGAGAACACCCTTACATAATATTCCAGCCTTACGTAATATTCGAATAGTCCAGTGCCCTGACACCTTATGATCCTAAAATTTTGTTATCCAAATATTTAGTTATGTTTATTGCAATATTATATCCCGATATTTTAATATTCGAATCTCTGGTGCTCTGATGGAATATTTATTTTCAGAGTACCGGTATTGGACAATCAGTATACGATTGTAATTGGTACGACTTGCGCCCGAAGCAGGCGGTCTCGTTAATTATAGTGATGTGTCGCGCGAAGGTATCGTTTCAAATAACAGCCGGCAAATTTAGTCCATTTTCCCTCGAATTTTTTAACGCTGTGAGTGAAACATTCGGTAGCGCCGCTCATTTTTCACTGGAAATTTAAAATGTTCATAGCCATATTTATTTGGCCAGGTTTTGAAAACGTCTGCTGGGTATCTGTCGGTGTTACTGGCCATGAAAGACTGATCAAAGATGTGTAACATAAATAATTATACGGCTGTAATATGCTTGTCCTCGGTCAAGCCAATAAAATACGCATCATGATAGTCGCTTTGGTTATCGAATAAATACATTTGGTTATGAGGTACTCACTCGTTGGTTCCATCGCGAGAAAGTATAGCGAAAATAAAAAATAATAAACGTATTGCATAATAAAATCCCGAAAGCACTCAAACTCCATGTTATGCGTGATATCGAGTAAATTAATAATTTAAAAAGCTGAATTTACACGGAACAAAGGTCAAGCTATTATTCAACTTATAATTCAACTTCGTGATTCACAAAATTCTCACGTGTCGTATGAATTGTTTAGAATTTCTAAAAAAAATATTAATTTTAAGTAAAAATTTCACTCGAGAGTGGATAATTTTACGACTTACATTTGTGAGTTACCCACAAACTTTTCTCGTGAAGAAGAATACAACGTGTGTTAAGTAAGCTGAAACAACGCATGCACCTTCTGTCCCTTTTTCCTCGTTTCTCGTCTGCTCGATGAGGTTATGAATAATTATTGGCGGATATTTGCGAGTGCCGAACTGTAATTGAACATCCAACGAAGAATGGGATCAAGAACTCACTGAACTACATAACCGTGAATAATCGATATAACGAGCGAATACTTCTTTTTCCAAATCCTCTTTATGTCAGTATACGTTATATGCGTGATGCTGCAGTTGTACTTGTATTATTACGTGGGCGAGAAATTTTCGGTCGAGGTACTGTGAGTAAACGGGAAATGAATTAATGCTTGTATCTATAATGGACAATTTTTCCAGAGTACAGAGTCGGCCAATGCCGCATACGATTCTGAATGGTACAATTTATCCCCTAGAAGTGCAAGGTTGATAATAATTATCATATGCAGAGCCAGGACACCGTTAACTATAACAGCAGGCAGATTTTGTTCTTTTTCTATGCAGCTGCTCCCTCAGGTAAGAGCAAAAGCGTTATAATATATCCATTAGACATTCTTTCTAATGATAATGAAAAAGATATTCTTCTTTAACACGGACTTTAGCTATTAGAAGAAAGAACACGCGTTAAAAACATTTTACATTTTTATAAAATTTTATACGGTATATATTTAAAGAATATGCACTGTGTTTTTATTCCTATATATATATAGTTCATATTTTCTAAGTAAACAATATTTTTCTCCTTTTTACATATACATCTTGCTTTAATACATGATCAATCTCTTTTGCATTTCAGGTTCTAAAAACCTCGATGCAATATATTTCCGTTCTATGTACAATTAACATGGATTAGAAGAATTAATAGACAAAGGATCGTTGAAATTCCCTGACTGTTCTCATCGCGGTGATAGTGCGATAGGAATTCAGTGTGTTCTTCTTTTTAAATTTTGATCCTGAAAGCAATGAATTAACCGTCAAAGAAGCGAGAAACGAAAATAAATGTGAAATTAGACGTTGTGCAAAGTATTAAAGCTATCAATTATTAACGAGATTCCTCGAGACACGAGTGCTCCTCGTGAAAGTTCGAGACATAATTTCTTTTTTCCCGTCTTCTATCCCTCGACATTTTCCCCTTCGAGAAACTTTGGGTGCATACTTGAACAGCTTTAAGCTCATTTGTAGTCGATTGCTTACGGCCGATCCGCATATCGAAAAATATTTGATGAAACAGTGTACGATTGCGTCGATTACAATGTGCAAAACGAATTTTAATCTTTAATATCCATTGTATAATTATGCGGAGTTTACTTTCCTGAAAACGAATCCAAAATCGAAATTGCTCTATTACCCTCAGTTTTCGAAAAATATGAATTTTTCGAAATCTCGATTTCTGACTAAAATGAATTATTACATAAAAAGTAATAACATTTGGAGATTCATTGCTGTCTTACAAGTTAGATGAGAGTATCTCGAGTTTATTAATGTCCATAATTATAATCATTTGTGCATCTGAGCAAATATAATTGATTATTAAATGCAGTGATAGTTGATAAAAAATGTTAAATTATAAAATTTATCATTAATAACAAATTGAAATTGTTAATGACAAATATTTTGCAACGTATATTAACGATAAAAGTAAAAGAGTTAATAAATTATTAACTACTCCTTAAACAAACAACGTATTTGTATAAAAATGTATTCGTAACTTACAAAAAGTTAATAAATTAATAAATTTATTGTTAATAACAGATTAAAATCATTGATAACAAATAGTTTTCACCGTATATTAACGATAAAAGTTAAAAAAGTCAATAATTTATTAGCTACCTTTTAAACAAACGACGTGCTTGTATTAAAATGTATT